AGCCAAGGCTGTGTGGAGGTATGTGATGTCTTCACATGAGAAGAGATTAAATAGGCTGTGCATCTTCAGCTCAGAAGACAGACAGCTCAGAGGGAGTGTTATCAAGGCCCAGGAGCCTGTGAATGGGGCATTTATTTCCCCGGTGCAGAAAGTAGTTTGGAAGGAAGCCTTGGAAAGAAGGAAGAAGGTTTTTCACGTGATATGCAACGACATTGTAGAAGTCATTGTCAGAGGGTATTGTGGAGGCCAAAGGCGTGTGTTCAGAAAGGGACTGGACAAACCAATGGTAGGAAAAAGCATCGGTGGTGATGCCACATCATGGTCCAAATCCAACCTCCGGAGTTCCTGGAGTGCGGATTATCAAGGCTGGGTGGGTCAGTCTGGGACATAAAGCCCTTTTTGCTAGAAGGCTTGTGCAGCCCTACCGTAGATCAGGTTGGTGATGCTGAGCAGAGAGAAGATACTCCCTAGCAGCAGATTTATATGTACGCCCCACCAGGCTCTGTTGGCCAGAATGAAATCCACAAACTGAAATTTGGCACTGCAGGTCAAAGCCTTTGCAGCAGCTGGGATGAGTTTGGTTTAGTGCCTGTCTCTGCTGCTGTGGGTGTTTGATTGTGCTTCTGGGACCTGAAGAAGTCAGCAAGTGAAGTCTGTGTCTTAGACCCCCTCATCAACCAACTCAGATGCAAGATAAAGCCGTTTCTACCCATCACTGTTGGCTCGAAGGGCAGAGATCTGCCACCCAGCTCCAGGGATCCACCACAGCACCACAGGCAGGACAGTGTTACTCCTGAATTTGGGGCTTGGGGTGGGTCAGTTTGCTTTGGTAGGACTCCAGAGAGCAGCAGATGAAATAACCCGTGTTTGTGAAGTCCACCACCTAGGTTTCAGAGGATGATGCTAAAGCAGCTGGGAGCCTGTGCCACAGTAACTTGTCTCCTTGTGCAGCTGCATTCTTTGTAACAAGCTAACCCTTTTTTTTTTTTTGTGATTTCAAGGATGACAATCTGCAATTACCTGCATGGGAAAGAGATTTCCAAATGCAGATGGCTCTTTAATGTACCAGGAATAAGCCCAGGAAGTTCCAGTGGCTGGAAGCTGAAGCCAGACACATTCAGATGAGAAATAACATACTTGGAGACTAATTAACCATGGGAGCAATTTGCTTAAGTTTGCAGTAGTTGCTCCATGACTGGCAAGTATTGAATCAGGGCAGGAGATCTATTTCAGAAACGTGCCCACACTCGGGTGAAAATGGTGATCCTGGGAGACGTGGCTCTGGGAAATGTCCAGGAAGGGTCAGATTTGAGCCGTGGTTTCACAACGTGGAGTCGTGGTATCAGTGCCATCTCACGGCCTTGCAGTTCTCCTGCCCTGCTCTCAGGCAGCTCATTCCTGACCTGTGGGGTGCCGTCCCAGCATGTGCCACTATTACCAGTTCTGGGAGGGAGCTGTGAACCGTTTGGGTGACTGAGTAATGTCAAATCACATTTTTCTCAGTGCTTGTTTAAAAAAGCTTAAGCTTTCTAAGTTCTAGCTCAACACGGGTCCCACAAGTAGTAACGCTGGTTTGGGATGCTAGCACACAGGCAGCTCCAAGGGTAAGGAGATGGACGTATCCTCAGTATCACAAACTCCCTGCCTGAGCCTCCTGTTCCTCCACACGACATGTTCTTTTTTCACACCTAGACGTGCTACCCCGGCAGAATTTGAGGATTTTGACGTTTGCCCAGGTTTCTGATGTGTGGAAGTCCAGACAGGGACACGACACTGAGTGAGCATGCTTTTGGGGCTGCCACCCACACCAATTTTGGGGTATTGCTGCAGGAGTGTCCCACGTTGCCTGCACAGCACGGGCTCAGCTTGTCCTGGTGTTCCTGGGGGGGATTTAGTGCACAGGCGCTGCGGGGTCGGTTCGTGCTTACAGAAAAAGGCCAATGTGGAGGAAAATGGCAGATTTACTGCGCCAGCCCAGCCCATCTGTGCAGCACATGTGCAGGGACCTGAGCCCTCCCGGAAACGTCTGGTTTGCTCTGCCTGCCCCATGCTGCACACATGGACATCACACAGGCCAGGAAATCCCAGAGAAAAATGTGCCAGCGCTGGTTGTTTGGACCGTATGGATCTTCACTGGTCTCCAAATCTGTGGTTTGAGCAGCACAGGTGCTACAGGAATAAAGGGATTAGTAACATCTGTATTCCTAAACCAAGGATATTTGGATACCTTTGCCTCACTGCATCTCCACCTGCCCTGGGCTTTCATCTCCTGCTCATGCAGGGCCACTTGCTGGCTGTTGAGCGGCTCTAGGATCCCTCTGGAGGGTAGAGACCAAGACCAAGTCATCTCCAGTTGTGCTCCAGGGACAACTCCACCATTAAGGCAGGACTTGAAGTTTTACCAGGAACTTTTGAACTTCATCCTGCAAAAATCCCAATAAAAGGAAAAAGAAAGAAAAGAAAGAAAAGCAGGTATGAAAAGGAAAATTTGAGTTTTTATAGTAAAATTTGAAAAAGGCCAGTTTCTTTCTCTCTCATGGAGACAGAAGAGGAACACTAAGATAAACCAGGTCCTTTTCTGTCCTGCTTTTGGTCTGCACCGTGCTGCCTGAGTGACACCTGTGTCCTAGAATGTTTTCTCAGGTCACTTAGCTTCCCAGGGACACGGTGGATGTCCTGCTGCTGCTGCTCCAGGCACGTTGGGGGTTTTCCCGAGAGTTCTCTTTGCTTTCCAGTCCCTGCCCGAAGGCAGCAGTGGTGGGTACGTGTGTGCCAGGGCTGCGGGCGCTATGAAAGGGGGGGAGGAAAACCCAAGAACTTCTTCCTCCGAGCTCAGTCTGCTCAAGGGTCTGGGCTGCGAGTGGCGAGTGCCAAGCTGAGCCCCAAGAGGTGATCTAGGAAAGCCCATGAGGGTTTATTTTGCAGCCAGAATATAAAGCATTTGACCTTGACTAATCTTCAAACCCAATTGCCATGTATTGATCTTCAGACCCAATATAGATTATGTTCATAATTGCAGCTTAGCGTTCATTAGCTCACTGTCGTACACGCCGTGCATTGCACTGCAGGCAGCAGTCCCTGCACGGAGCATTTAAAAGCTGGGAGTCGGGTTTTTTGATCCCTTTGGCATGTTTCTGCACACTTAGTGTTGGAGAACAGCAGCCTCTCCGCCACAATATTTGCAAAATCCCCTTTTCCTCCGGAGCCAGAGGAGCCGTGTGAGCTGTGCGACGTCCGCACCTCCCCGTGGATGCTCCAGCTGGACTCCTCACCCTGCCAGGCTGGGGGGAACCACCCCCAAACCACCACCCTGGCACTGGGTGACTCTCCAGAGAGATGTGGAAGATTTCTCAGAGGCCAGCCTGGGAAGCAACGCTCAGAGCGCTGCGAGGCAGCAGCACCGGGGCAGCGTCAGTGCTGCAGGGCTTTGCAGCACGTTATTGTTTTTCCATTTCTAATTGTATCTCTTCCCTCTCTGTCCACAGCGATTTATTACCGCTGTCTTTGCCAGTGGCCTCTTATGCTTCACGGGGTCCAGCTGCCCTTTTGTCCCAGTCTATAATTGACCATCGTCATTAATTTAAAGTCAGGATGATTGTTTCCGAGCTATATTTAGCCTGAAGTTTGCTGCTCTTGTTTCAGACCTGATTAGAGGCTCATGTGCCAGAAAGTTTGCTGCTCTTCTCTGCCACAACTGCTCTGATGAAAGGTCTTGTCTCTCCTCACAAACCTTCCTGTTCCTTCTCCACCCTCGATGGTGGGGCTGGGCTGGGGGACTCACCCCAGTGGAGTCAGGACAACTCTGTGATTCCTGTTGTGTTCCCCGTGCACTAGAGAGCAGCCCCAGGCAATGCAGCATCGGTTCCTTTTTCATCACCTTCACTTGCTCAAGCCAATATCTCCTGCTGTGTCCATGCATTAGCACTTCCAAAGTGCACCAGCTGCACAGCACGTTACACCCACAGAAAAGGTTTCCTGCCTGGTTGGTGTGTGCCTTTGTGTGTTTTCATGTCTCTGCTCCTAAGCCTAAGAATAGAGCAACTGCTTGGGCTTCCTCCCAGGAGCCCCAGTTTTCCAAGCTGTAGTTGGGATTGCTGGACTAGGGAGCGACCACCTTGGACAGCAAGCAAGCCTGTGCTAGGGGCTGCTCCTGTGGTGGTCTCCTGTGGTCCTCAAGATTAGTAATTGCTTTGGTTTTTGGCATCAGCAGCATGAACAGATACACCTGTGTGGCCTCAGGTCGGACTCAAATAGGAGCTGTCTGGAGGAGGTGTATTTTTGAGATATTTGGGTCACAAGCCATCAGGAGACTAACACAGATACATACAACTCACGGTAACCTTCTGCGTGGAAAGGCTGTGGTTAGTCCCAGGGGCAGGACTGACCACAAGTGCACTCAGGGTGGAATCTCATCAGTTTGTTAATGGCCACTGCCGAGGAGCGAGCACCAAAAAAAGGAAGGTGTGTAGCAGTATTTGTCCAGCCTTTCCTCCCATTCTCCAGTGCTCAGGGGCTTCCTGAGCTGGAGGTGGCATCTTTGCTGGCTATTTCTTCCATTTTTTTCCATTTTCCAAGTCCTTCCTTGAGTCCAGGCAAGGAGTTCCTCAATTTAAATACATGTTCAGTTTAAGATGGGCATCTAAAACGTTTTCTTTAATCACTGTTGAAGGATGCTACAGTGATAGAACTAGGTCCATACCCCAAGATCTTGTTCCTGAAAAGCTGTGGTGCTCAGAGAGCTCTCCCTTCCTGCTCCAAAGTGATGGTCAGAGCTCTGCTGCCAGTTGGGTTCCAGTCCGTTATTCTCAGCTGTGCTTGCTGCAGGCATTTTTATCACATATAATTAATTCCTTCTGTTTAAGGATGCAAAGGTTTCATTAGAACCCGTGAGCGTGGTGACTGCCTTTGTTTTCCCATGAGGTAGGATGGGCGTTGGTTGTTTTCGGATTTCCCCTGTGACTACATTGGGCTCATACAGTTTCTCCCTCTGTTTCCTATAGGTTCATGAAAGTGGCTGGCAGCACGGTGGATGCTGTTACCTGGCAACAGTAGGTATTCACCATTCCTTCTACTTTCCAACACTAATTGCAGTGATCAGACTACTCTGGGAGCAGAGTTGATGCTCTGTCTGGGTGTGAAAGGGGGCAGATGTGTGACGGCCACCTCCTCTGTCACCCTGCTGCATTTAAATAGGTAGAAGAGGCTCTGCCTCTCCTTCTGGTGCCTCTCAAACAAATACAGGAGGGGGATGTATTAACCTCTACCACTGCAGCTGAGACAGAGGCTAAAAATACCGCTGCCGGCGTGCCTGGCCTGCCTGATAGCTGGGAACAAAGCCCTGCGCTGGACCAGGGGTCCCTGGAGGCAGGTCTGGTGGTGGCCGGGTGGGGACAACAGGGAAGCAAAAAAGCCACATGTGACAGGTGTATGGGACTATCTGAAAGCCCTTTTCCTTCCACCCCAACCACTGTCTCCCTGCAGCCGCCTGCCTGAAGAGAAGCTGGTCTGGCCCAGGGGAGGGGGAGGGAGCTTAGTGCGATGGTGAATGTGTGATGGCCCAGCACCCACTCCATGTCGTGAGGGTCTGGGATGTCTGTAGACATGCCACTGTCCTGCCCTGCAGATGTTGATGGAAAGGGGGTGAACGCCCAAGATTCAGGTCCAGTTGGGGCTGCCAGAGAGATGCTGACACCTGATTTTCCTCCTGGTTCCTACACGTGCTGCAGTTCAGAAGAGCAAAGCAAGCTCTGAGCTGCAGCGCTGGGTGCAACAAGCACCGAGTGAAGGAAAAAGTTTTCCTATTTGGGCAAAAAGCCATAAGCATCTTTTTCCTCCCCTTATTTCCAGCGGCCCCAGTTTGCACCCTGTGGCCAGAGGCAGGCTCCCAGCAGCCTGTGTCTCTCTGCAGTGGGTGTGCAAATGCCAGTGAGAAGGTGAGGCAGCACAGCAGCAACCTACAAAATTGAAAGAAAAAGGGTCTGTGAGGCAGGCAGGACTCTTTCCTGCCACAGAAAGGACACATTTCAGAGACAGGAATTCACTGGAGCACAAACCTGTTCCCAGAAAACCTGGGTTTGCTCTGACGCTGGGTTGCAGAGCACTGACCTGGAGCACGGGAGCCGGGGGCTCAGGTTTAAGGTGGGCTTGTGTGTGCTGGCCATGGGGCTTGGTCCCCAAGCTGGCTCTTCACAGAGATTCTTCATTAAGTGCTCACGCTGCTTGGCTGAAGTGTGGCAGCGTGGTTTGTAAAGCCCATCTCTCGTAAAGGCCGCCTGGAGACCTGCTCTTAAAAAGAGCTCGTTGGGTTTTAAAACATGAGGTTTTCTGGCAAGTGCTCCCAGGGTCTCTGTGCTTGTGTGTTAACCTCGGAGCCTCCTGCAGAAGCAGCTGTTGGCATCTCAGAGGGATTTATAGCACCACCATCCAGCAAGTGGTGTTCCTCAGGGAGCCTTGCTCTCCTCGCTGGGCTTGCTCGGGTGCTTGGCTCCTGGGCTTTCCCTGGCAGCGTGGTGCGATGGGGGCAGCAGGGTAGCAGAGCCTTTGGATCAGGATTTGTGTTACTTACAGGCTCATGCTGTGCACTGATGATCTATGTTTCAGCTGGGAGTTTGCTTTTCATGATTACACGATGTGCTGATCACATTTACTTCGTCCAGGAATTCGCTTTTTTTGCCACGGGGCTTGATCCCTGGGCCAAGCCCTTGGAGGAGCTGAAGGAACGAACTTCCAGACTTCTGACATGGAGCTTCGTCCTGGTGTGGGGGGGCTCTGTCCTCCCGTCTGCTTTGGAACCTCTCCTTGCAGGATGAGTCCAGGCTGCTCCGATCAGTACGGAGCCCTCGGGGTGCTGAGCAGCCCCCCGCAAGCCCTCCCCACCCGGTGCCACCACGGCGTAGGAGCTGCTGCTCCCTCTTTGGAGCTCTGGAGATTGCCCCCACGTGCATTTGTGAGGACTGGCAATGGCCACAGCTCCGAGCTGGGCTTCTGTACTGTTTATGAACAAATGTCAAAACAGTGTCTCATCCCTCTGCTTCCAAACAGCAAAACAAAACAAAACAAGGTCCTTTGTATCCAAGAAGAAAATTATTAGCAGGAAACTAAACTGCTGTCTAACTTCAAGTATGAACATTTCTGTTCCAAACCCTAACGTTCTCCTGGGATATCGGTTATAAATTTGTCAAATCTGTTACTCCTTTGAAAAGGCTGTGCTTTATCCAGAAAGGGAACTGAGAAGGGAATTACATCGCAGGGATCCCTATTCTCGGTGTGAAAACAGAATATATCTCAAATATATCTGACAGAAAAGTGACACCGGGTGGAAATGAGCAGCCTCGCCAGCCTTTCTGAGAATGGTTTCACTTACACATGTAACTCAGCATGTGTGCCTCCCCCTCCAGGAGTAACGTGTGGCTGGAGCGGGATGTGTGAACGGCTTTGGGAAGGCTCAGGGAATTTCCAGCCGGGGAGGGTGGGGCAGGTGGGACTGACAGTGGCTCCCAGAGTTTTTGGCACTTCCCTGGTAATTGAGGTTGTTTGTTATGTTTGGTTCTGAGTAAATGCTCCCTTTATTGCGGACCCCCGGCGTCTTTGGATGCGGGTTTCCGCTGCTGAGAGACCTCCCCGCAGCCTCCCCTTCGCTCGCCGCTGGCACCCCCCCATGAGGGGAACACTCATTGCCCCCTGCAACCTGCAGCCCTGCCAGGTCCTGCACGGCTGGTTTGCCATCCAAAGTGTTGTGCAAAACCCCACGTTTGTCAAATTTAATGGGCAAATTCTTATGTAACGCTCCCTTTCAAGCACAAATCCCTGTTACTGACCGGGAAAGTAAACTTTTGCCTCTTCAAAGCCAGTGGGCACCTATCATTTTGGCTCCTTGGAGAATGCCACGTTATCTTCCAAGATGGAAAGTCACCCGCCCTATGTGGCAATCAGAGATGCCAGACACAGGGGCGTGTGAGGGACGCTGCTTGAAGTGCTTCTGCTGGGCTTGGTTTGGGTGACATCTCTTCTGTCTTAGACACATGGAGTGTGCAGGCAGAGATGCTCACAAGGCAGTAGCTATAGCAGGGGGCAGATCTCCTAAAGGTGCCAGGGGAGAGTTTCCCAGCGTGCACACACCCCAGTGGATATACCAAGGGTATATATTTGGGCTCATGTGAGCCTGCTGCGAGTGCTGAGACCGTGGTGTCTTCTGAGGTTGTGCCTGGAGGAAGGGGTTGTGTGAAGAAATCACTGCCCCATCTCCACCTGTAAATCAACCTGGTCAGGGCATGGCTTGGCACACTGGCTTGCCATCCTCTGTACTGTCTGACAGAGGGCACAGTCCCTGGCAGCATCACGGTCCTGGTCAGCAGCACAATCCCAGGTGATGGCAGGGTATGACCAGGGAGATGACATGGGCTAGAGATGGCTGCTACTGGTGGGACGGACAGAGCCACCTCGTCTGGGCACTTGAGTAGTGCCTTTAGGGCCAGAGAGAAGCCTTCAGCCATTCTTCTTTATTAATGCATTTATTAATTGACTGGAGATGGGCAGCACCTCTTCCCTTTGCCCACAAGTCTTTACGTGGGGGAAGCTGGTGATGTCCCACCTCTCCTCTCTGTGGGGAGCAGCGGGGCTGTCTGTGTCCTGTGCTGCAGACACTGCTCCCACCTCTCCTCGGGAAGATGCTCAGGGATCAGGGCCACCTCTGTGGGCAGAAGTGTCTCGGTTTCACAGCTGTGGTGATGGTGGGGTGTCACTCTGACGGTGGGGACCTGCCCCGCTCGGCGCCCTGGGAGGCAGCTGCCCTAATTCCAAGCAGACTCTCCCTGTAGCAGCAGGCAACAAAGTAGATCCGGAAATTCCTGAGCTTTGGGAAGTGGGCTTTAATATAATTAACTGCAACAGAAGAAGAGGTCAGATAATAGGGGCAAAGGTTTCTCTTTAAAATGAAAGAGAAGGTAAATGAAACCAGCTGCCCAGGAGCCAGTGCACTGCCTTCATTAAATACGGGATGATGCTCATGGTCCCACACAGCAAATTGTGGATCTTTCCAGAAAACCATTTTAAAGCAGCACAAGGCCCAGAGGTGACAGGATAGAGATGTGCAGCCAACCCCAGGTTGGCCCCAGAGCCCTGGTGCCTGGCACTGCCCTGCTCTGGGAGGCACCGGGTACCTGTGAGCATCCCAGCCTCGCCCAAGGGCTTGGGCTTTTCTGCCTGGGAGCTGTGCTCAGCCCTGCCTCAGGTCCCCACCTTGGCAGCAGCTTTTTTGCTGTGCTGTTCCCAGCTCTTGTTCCCAACTCGTGCTACAGTTCCAGCCAGCGCTGGGCATCAGGAATTGAGGTGGTGCGTTTCCTTGTGCTGGCACAAACCCTTGGCCAGGATTGGTCTGGTTTGGTCACCTCCGGTGTGATACAGTCACATTTCCCCTTGCAAAGTGTGCACTGGTCCCATCCTGGGTTTCTAGGGCATATTCAAATCATTTTTTTTTGGTCTGGTTTGGTCACCTCCAATGTGATACAGTTACATTTCCCTTTGCAAAGTGCACTGGTCCCATCCCGGGTTTCTAGGGCATATTCAAATCATTTTTTCTTTAGAAATGTGGCAGCCCTTGCTCTGTGGGTGGAAGGCACAGAACTGGCCTCAGTGTCGTACAGTGTAACAGGGCACCCAACGTGGCTGTACGGGGCCTTTCCTTGGAGACGTGTGTCTCATCCAGGATTTATTTGCTAGATCCCTCATTTCCTTGGCTGGTTCCTGCAGATTGTCTGCCTACAGAGATAGTGGCATCAAACTGGGGGACACGGTGAGTCAGCTCTGCATGTAATTGCCCATACCTGCTCTATCCTATATTATGAGCAATGGCATGGTCTGTGCCCGTGGTGGGCATGCTGGTATCTCCTGGGCTTCAGGGCCAGCTCGGTGCTGCATCATACCCACACCCTGCTGGAAGATCTGCCAGCCTGCCTTGGAACCAAAGAGCTTGTCCCTGAGCCGTGTGTCCTCTGCAGAGCCACAGCTGCCAGAGACCCCTGCCCGTGCTGGGGAGGACCTGTCCCTTTTTCTCCTCTGGCACCCAGATCTGGCCAGCACGGGGAGAGGAGGATGTGGATGCTGCAGCCGGCTCAGCCTGGCTGCCTCTGACCACGCTGCTGCCTGGGGAGGTACTTGTCAGCACTGGAGCTCTCTGCAGCTGCTGCTGGCTTTTTTGGAGCTTGGAGAGCTGTGACTGTTCAGGGTTTGGGGGTTTTTTTTCTGGTTTTTTTTTTTTTTTTTGAAAGTCAAGTGCACTGAGTCATTGTAAATATCAGCAAAGCTGCAGCCTTTGCTCCTGGGAATAATCCACCCCTAACGAGCGCTTCTCCTGCTTTAAAGATCTGTCAGTTGTTTGTGTTTTGCGGGTTTCTACACTGCCTTTACTGATGGTTAAAGTTTTCAAAAGGAAGTGCCCAAATCTTAGTGATGAAGCCCACAGCTGGGAACAGCTCACCCGTTCCACAGAAGCTCAGATCTCAGTGCCCTTCTCTTCCTCGCAAGCTTTCTGCAACTGGGGCCATTTCCCCCCCTTTCCCAGTTTGGGGAGGTTGAAAGTACCTGTTGGTGTCTGAGAACTTTGCAGGCAGATCTGCAAGAGATCCTTACCCATCTTACAGGAGCTTGTAAATGTCTTTGTGCTCTCCTTAAATACCCAAAACCACAGTGCTCCTCTCCTCGCTCCCCCAGGAGACATGCCACCGACAAGATTTCCTGATATTGAAGCAGAAAGTTTGTTTTTCCTTTCATCCCCGTGCCTGTCCCCATTTCTCTGGGTTATTAATGAAAATACCAAAACCCTGTGACTGTGGCACTGTCCTGGGACATTTCTCTCCCCAGCAGGGTCTCAGTGGGCTCAGCACAGCAGCACCGTCCCAGGCTGCCTCCTCCACGTGGTCCCTCCTCTGGGGCTGCTCCTGGAGAGGTGTTCCTCTCCCTTGGCAGCGGAGCCGTAGGTGAGAGCACATCCCCTTGTGCTTGGATGAGGTGATGAGGAGGTGTGAGCCTGCCTGTGCTTTTCAAGGGGTTTATTCTGGGCTCTGGGACCAGACTGGTTTGCACACACAAGGTGAACTCTGCAGAAAACCTGCTGCATTGGAGGGGCCGTACACAGACTGAGGTCTCCCCAACTCCATTTTTACCCAGTCAATACAACTTATTTTTATTGCTTTTTAGCCAGTTTTTGTCCCAGATGATAGGGTTTTTTTGTCCACAGCAGTCTGAAAAAATCATTTCTGTTCAGTTTTTAAGTGTCGTGCTAAAATCCAAACATCTGCCATCCCCAGAGTCCATTGCTTTGTAATTTTGTCTTAAAAAGTAATCTCTGTAAGCCCCACCGCTGCCTGCTGCTCACAGACCTGCTCTCCTCCCAGCAGCCAGGCCTGCAATAGTGTATAAATGATTGGAGCGATTTTGAACAGTTCCTAAGTCCCACCCCCCCAAAGTTAATCTCTGCCCTTAGCACCTTCCAGTTGACACGGAGATGCAGAAATGCCTCTTTACTCCTTTCCTGGGTTACACGCTGTTGGAGTGAAAGTGGGCACCATCCTGTGCTTCACTGGGGACACGGCAGGGACAATGTCCCTGCGGGAGAACTGGCAGAGGAGACTCGTCTCATTTAACGCATTTCTGCCCTGGGCCAGTTAGTGCTGGTGTTGCTCCCCTTCCACCGCAGCCCTGCACAGCTACGAGTGCATTTATCTGGTTACCTGAGCAGTGACTTTGAGCTAAAAATTCTCTCTGAGCACTCGTGCATGTTGCATGTGTGACAGGCACTCTGGCTGAGTGAGCCCACAGCATCCTTTGAGGATGCTCCTGCATTCCAGCACCCGGGTGAAGCACTCATTGTGGACACCACGGCTGCTGATGATGAGATGCACGTTATAGAGAAATCAGCCCTGGAAAGGTGAATCCCCCTTTCTTCAGAGCCCGTGTCTTCAGCCCGTTGTGCATCCCAGCTCCCGTGGCTGCACTGAAGATTGTGGAGAGGGAGCAGGGTCTGTTCAGTCCTGTGAGTGCTGAGTGGATGTGGCTCCAGTGAGGGATCGGGGGCGATGGCTGAGCCCTGCCAGCCCCAGCCAGAGCTGCTCTAATTCTCCTGCACCTCCCTCACGGCTCTGACCCGCTCCAGGACTGGTGCACTGGTTCAGAAAGTTCTCTTGCAAAAACTGTTCATCCGCCGTATGTTCATCAAACCTCTTGGTGTGCCTGGGAGGAGCCTCTGGGAGATGTACAAGGGCTGCTACTGCTTTTTGTGTGGGGACAGAGGTGCCAGCCCCAGACACCTCCTCAGGAGGGGCTGGTTGAGATCACCTCCAGCCACAGGGCATCTGCTCTCCAGGACAGATGGTTTCACCTTGTGTCCTGGACAGTATTGATGCATTTCAGAGCCTTCTCCCCCAACACTTAGAGACAGATGATTCACTTTATGATTGGCAGCACTATAGCCGTGTTTTATATAAGCAAGCACATGGAGAGCACATATTTCAGAGCCTTCCCCCCCCAACACTTAGAGACAGATGATTCACTTTATGATTGGCAGCACTATAGCCGTGTTTTATATAAGCAAGCACATGGAGAGCAGGAATCACCTCTCTCCATGGGAAATGCCCCCTGACATTCCCAGGGCAGAAGGGATTTCTGTGGGAGCAGGACTTTCCCTGCAGGTAATGGACATGGCATTTCTTGAGTGGGTGATTTGGCTGTAGACTTTGTTGGGACAGTGAGCAGGGAAGGTGGGGGTTCTGCAGGGGGGCTGGGAGCGGGGCTGGCTCTAGTGCCACAGGTCCTGAGCCCATGCACCCCACGGTCACTAATCCTTGCTCAGAAACACCACCAGGGCTTAGCCTGGAGGGCTGTTATTGCAGCAGGATGTCCAGGAACAATTCTGGTTCTCAGACCAGAAGAGGCTCTGTACGGTGTCCCCTGCAGACGCACCGGTGGCCAGAAGACCAACCACTGGATGGAGACTGTCCCACGAACCAGGCAGGGTGATGCAGTTATTCCCACGGCTGGGAGCATGGGCAGCATCCCCTCTCCCCTTCTGGGTGTTTGCTGCAGCAATTTCCAGTGCTCCTCAGAGGGCGTTTGCTGCTCAGGAGCCTTCTCCTCCCTGGTGCCTGCACAGTGTCCTCTTGAGGCTGAGGAGCCCTTCGTTTCAGCCATTACATGTGCTTCCTCTGTTTTGCCATCCCATAAGAGCAACGATACTGGGCTGACTGGCTTATCTGCATTTTGGACACGGGGTGTCCCTGACACAGGGGATGAGCACAGACGGGACAAGCTGAGTGAGCAGAACATCTCCCTGATGGTGGAGCCCAGGTGCTGCTCTCACAGGTGCCAGAGGGTCTCCTTCCCCGGGGTCTCCGTGAGATCAGTGCAGAGGGTGCTGCAAAGCCTTTGGGGGTGGTGGTGTTCTCCCAGCCTTTTGTGTGCTGCTGCTCCCAGCGTTTCCCCAGCAATAGTTAAGAAAGCACAACATTTCCCATGGACTCTGCAGCGCAGGTTGCTCAGCGTTCAGGGTGCATCCACCTCACGCCTTGTTTTGGAGACTGAAAGCATCTGCCAGATGCAGGCACGGCCAGAGGGCCAGGGCAGGGCAAGGTGCAAGCAGGGACTGGCCCAGAGCAGAGGAGGCTTCTTGGCACGGGGAGGATGTGGGTCAGGGCAGAGCTTCTCCCAGCTGACTGATCCTTGTCTTTTTATTTTCCTTTCAGTTACTACATCGACGGCCGAGTGGCCAAAGTGACAGACTTCCTGAAAACGCGTCTGTTAGACACGCTCTCTGACCAGATCAGGAAAATCCAGAAAGTGCGTGAGTGCAAAGGGTTGGCGGGGGGCGAGGGGACACTGTGCCCATGGGGCTCGGCCTCGGCAGGGGTCCTGGCCGGGGCTGTGATGTGCTCCTGGGGGAGCTGGTGTGGGGCAGGGATGGAGGACGGCTGCTGGGGGCAGCTGTGCTCCCAGCCCAGATGTGGCCAGCCCTCATGCAGGGGATGGGAGGACAGAGCAGGCAGCAGGATGCCTGACCCCGGGGTAGGATGTGTGTGGGTCAGGGGCTGCAGCACCGTGTGGGCTGTGCAGTGCACCAGGATGCAGGATGGACACAGGGTGCAGGGGCAGACACTGCCATGCCAAGCCTTTCTAAAACAGCCAACTGTCTCCAGTCTGCCATCCATCCATACCTGAAAGTTTCTCCGAAGGAGGAGAAGAGGGAGCAACCAGGCAGCATCAAACCTCCCTGAGCACAGCCAGTGCCGTGCCTGCTCAGGAGGGGACTCCTTCTGCAGTGTCTTGCCCGCTTGCTGCCAGTGCGTGAAAATCACGGAGTCAGGGAATTGTCAGAGTTGGAAGGGACCTCTAGAGACCCTCCAGTCCAACCCCCCGGCCAAAGCAGGGCTGCCCAGAGCACATCACTCAGGAGCATCCAGGCGGGGCTTGAAGATCTCCAGAGAAGGGGACTCCACACCCTCCCTGGGCAGCCTCTGCCAGGGCTCTGCCACCCTCACCCCAAACAAGTTCTTCCTCCCATTGGAGTGGAACTTCCCATGGTCCAGCTTGTGCCCGTTGCCCCTCGTCCTGTCCCTGGGAACCACTGGAAAGAGTCCGGCTCCATCCTCCTTCAACCCCCCCTTTAGAGACTTGGCAGCATGAAGAAGGTCTCCCCTCAGCCTTCTCTTCTCCAGGCTGAAGAGCCCCAGCTCTCTCAGCCTTTCCTCATCAGGGAGATGCTCCAACCCCTCCATCCTCTCTGTTGCCCTACGCTGGACTCTCTCCAGCAGTTCCCTGTCTCTCTGGAACTGGGGAGCCCAGCACTGGAGGCAGGATTCCAGTTGTGGCCTCCCCAGTGCAGAGCAGAGGGGGAGAATGACCTCCCTCCACCTCCTGGCCACACTCTTCCCTACGCAGCCCAGGATCCCATTGGCCTCTTGGCCACAAGGGCCCATTGCTGGCTCCTGGAGAGTTTACTGTCCACCAGGACCCCCAGATCCTTCTCCTCAGAAATGCTTTCCAGCAGATCCACCCCTAACCTCTATTGGTGCCTGGGGTTCTTCCTGTCCAGGTGCAGGACCCTACACTTGCCCTTGTTGAACCTCATGAAGTTCTTCTCTGCCCAGCTCTCCAGCCTGTCCAGGTCACAATGGATGGCAGCACAGCCCTCTGGAGTGTCAGCCAGTCCTCCCAGTTGGGTATTATCAGCGAACTCAAAATATTGCTTGTAAAGTTGTGACAGTTGCATTTCCAGGGTGATTTTCACTCATGGAGAATCATGAACATCGTTATGAACAACTGGTGGGTTTTTTTTTCCTCCCCTGGTGATCATGTTTGGACTATGTTATGAAACCCAGATGATGCTGGCGTGCTCTACCAGAGCCCCTGGCTCTGCCTGGCCAGCGCAGCCTGAGGGGAGTGCTCCTCTCCCTGCCACGCACCCAGCTCCTGTCCCTTCCCACTGGGCAGGGGACGGGGGCTTCACAGGTCCCCCTGCTTCAGCTGATACAGGGACCAGGGCTGTGCCTGGCCTGCTCAGCTGTCATTCTGACAAAAAAAAAGGAACACCTACTAAGCAGGGAAGGCTTTAGGGACTAGAGGAGATGTCCGTCTGTCTGTCTTGTCCAGGTTTTCATACCCTACCAGTCACCACAACATCTTACTGTTGTAATTCCTGCAGGGAGAAACTGTAGGATGAGTAAACAATTCAAAGAGGCCCCTGGAAAGGGGATGTGAGGGTCAGCGCAGCAAAGCCAGAGGAGAGGAGCCGCTTGCCGAGTCCTTCGGTGCAGGCTGGGAATCACCCACGCGTGTGAGTGGTCCTCTCGCTGTGGGGAGGGGTGGTGGGGCAGCCAGCGGGATCAGCACGAGAGGCACTGAGCAGCCCTGCTCCCCCCGGCAGGACACAAACCCACCAAAAGTGGTGGCACGTGTCCCACCTCCACTGTGGGGTCGGGAACCTGCTGGGAGGGGTGCTGGACCCCCCATGGTGGGCTGGGCAGAGGGCTCTGGGAGCAGGGCACCAGCAGCAGGATGGCTGGGGATGGCGTTTGCCCTCCCAGCCGTGGGCAGCTGGGTGGTGACATCCCCGGCAGGACAGGACAGCAGCCCCAGGGGCTCCCTGCACCCCAACCATCCCCACACCAGCAGCAGCGAGGAGCTACCCCCGACGTGGGCTGGGGGAACCCTGGCAGCCGCGGGGCAGGGTTTGGCCTGCGCAGGGATGGCTGGGGAAGGGCTCTCCCGGGAATGCCAGTGCGGCTGAGCAAAAGCACAGCGCTGGGTGCTAATAGCCTCCAGCTTGGCTTTGAGTCCGTGCATCCTGCCGGGGCTGATTAGAGCAGCTGGGCTTGTCCACTTCCCTGTTTTATTGCTTCCTCTCCGACGGGGGAAGGTGGCGGGCTTAGATAATTACAGGCAGGATGCCAACACCTCTGGGGCTTCAGTCAGGGATGTCGACTCTCACAGGCTGTGAGTGGGAGGCAGCCCAGAGCTGGCGTATTTCACATCTTTGAGGGATCCCAGTCCATCCAGCACATTCCAGCACTCCTCACTAATGGGGCAGGATGCATCAGGCTGCGCAAAGCGCTCCTCAGGCTGCTGGGTTTGCAGACATCTGTTCATGGGAGCTTGTTGCCCGGCCTGGAGAAGTGGGATTACGGGAGAGAGGATGGGGAGTTGTGTGGTGCCAGAGGTTGCTTACACTGGGAGAGGGCAGCTCTGGCCATCTGAGCCTTTCCACCCCACCTGGCACCTCATGGGTGTCTGCGCTGCTGGCTGGAGCCTTGGAGGTGGTGGGACAGACCTACATGTCCTTTCTGTGCCAGGGAGCCCTTGGACATCGAAGCAGCCCTTGCTCAGCCATGGGGCTGGCTCTGTCTGTGGCCAGAGGCATCCACTGCTTTCTTCTCAGGTGCCCACTCTTCCTCCATGTGGCTCCAGTACGTGTCCCAGGGCTCCCACGTGACAGAGCCTTCAGAGCTCGGGTGCTTCCTGTGGCTGGTGGCCACCTTGCATGGGGCTGTGGAGAACTGAGATGACCTGGCAGGGCAGCTGGCAGGACAGGGAATGTGTGGGGAGACCGTGGAGAAAGAGCAGGGCCTGGGTTTGGGAGTGTGGGAGTACGTTTGGGAGGACGTGTTAGGAGCAGCTCCAGAAGATGGGTAGTAGACACATGACAGCAGCAGCAGCAGCAGAGAGTGAGGACCAGTTCCCCACCCCCCAGACATGGTGAAGACACCTGGTGACCATGCCAGGGCTGAGCAAGCACTGACGGCCCAGCAGCACCATTACCCGAGGCCTCCAAAACCCGTCCTGGAGTGGAGCACAGGACACGTCTGCCTGAGCTTTCAGTCACGGGCTCACGAGAGTCATTTTGGTTGCGTTTGTGTCCCACACAGGTCGTGAACACATACACACCGGGGAAGAAGATCTGGCTGGAAGGCGTTGGCGCGACCTCAGCCGGAGGCATGAACAACCTCTCCGATTCCTATGCGGCCGGGTTCCTGTGAGTTACACCAGCACCCGAGCGCCAGGGCACTGCCATCCCCACGGGCTCTGTGGCCTTGGGTGCTGCAAAGCCTCTGCAGCCAAGAGGGGGCCAGCTCTGTGCCCAGACACCCCACTCCTACCCCCCTCAGCACTCCTCCGGCAGCCTGGGCACCCTCACTTTCTCCGTAGCATCCCTGTTACCTCTCCTCAGCTTTGCTTCTCCTGTAGGTGACCCAGCCCCTGGTGTACTCAGAGGAGCAGAGCAAGGAGGGGGCCACTTGGGACCCCACAGCGGTACCCACGGTGTGCCCGCAGGACATGGATGTGGAGGGAGAGGTGGGATCTGGGCATGCCACCTCCAGGACCCCAGGGCTGGCATCCCAACTAGCTTGCCTCGCGCATCCACTCGGGGTCCCCAGGGCCTCCTCCCACTCTGTTTCTGGTTCGTTGCATGTGTTCACTCCCGGGGCACCTGCCCAGGGAAGCACTGGGCAGGACTCTGCTCTGGAAACCATTTTCTCTCCTTCTTCAAAGCCAAAACCATTCCATGGGGTCCTGGGGTTTGTCTGCTGGCACAGCCCTGTGGCATGGGCATCCTGCTGCTGAACCTCAGTTCAGATCTTCAGAGCTGGCTGTGATCATGAAAGATGGAAGATTATCTGGGCTCCGGGGGAGGCGTGGGAATGTGCATGGGGGGATGGGATACTGGGAGCAGGCAGCAGGGCTGCCAGGGCTGGGGTCACAGAATCACAGAATGACATGGGGTTGGAAGGGACCTCTGGAGATCATCTCCTCCAACCCCCTGCCAGAGCAGGTCCACCCAGAGCAGGTCCCACAGGAGCGTGTTCAGGAGGGTCTTGAAACTCTCCAGAGAAGAAGACTCTACCACCTCTCTGGGCAGCCTCTGCCAGGGCTCTGCCACAATCACAGGAAACAAGTTCCTCCTCATGTTGAGATGGAACTTCCCATGTTCAAGTTTGGGCCCATTTCCTCTTGTCCTGTCACTGGGCACCACTGAAAAAAGCCTGGCCCCATCCTCCTGACCCCCACCCTTGAAGTATTTATAGGTGTTGATCAGATCCCCCCTCAGCCTCCTCTTCTCCAGACTCAAAAGCCCCAAGTCCCTCAGCCTTTCCCCATCAGAGAGAGGTTCTAGTCCCTTTATCATCTTTGTAGCCTCTGCTGCATCTTCTCCCCACTCTTTGAGGAGCTTTGAGGGTTTTTAAGAGGGGTTTTAAGAGGTGCCCTCAAAAAAACTGAAAGGTCCCTTGTTGTGGTTGTAGGTGATGCTGGTGGTGACATCTGTGGCTTTGGGATGGAGCCCCTTGTTCAGTAATGAAGCCACTCATGGACAAGAGAGGCTTTTCTAGGCGTGAAGGAGGGTCGTCTTCTAAAACCACAAGATTAATAGAAAGACATTTGATTAAGAGGAATCGCCAAGTTTAATTTGAAATTGTGGCTTTTAATTGAGTCGCTTCCAGCTGACAGTGTTCTTAAGTTTATTAATTAACTCACGACTCAGTGATGAAATGTTGGTGTGCCACCATAGAATAATGGAAAGCGGGCAACACTTTCCAAGGCTTATTAACTACAAATATTGAAGAAAATAGCATAAAATGCCACTGCTTTCATTTTTTTCTCCTGTTGGTGAAGATGGCTTAATCTATTTACTTCCTTCAGTGAACACTGCTGATTTTTTGTATAAAACATAGGCCTTAGATAATATTTTGAGCCATTCTAATAATGTGAAAATAGCACCTTGCCACTTTTAAATCAACTCAAATTATTACTTAGCGATTTTAAAATAAATATTCATAGTACTAGTAATAATAAATATTAATGTTCAAATGCTTATTGAAACCACTACAGATCCTTAAATTACTATTTGTTATCGATGCTGCTCATAGAAAGATGGAATTATTGTACTCATTTTTGTAAGTACAGGGGTGCAAGCAGCAGCACAGAAGTCAGAAGGAAATCTCTGCACGTCTGAAATCTTCAGCATGTTCTTTCTGAAACAAGCTCTGGTGGTTCCTTCAACTGGAGCCTCTTGACTTTCCAGAGTTAACCTGGCTTCAAATCTGCTGTCAATAACAGCAGGATGGTGAATGAGTTTAGATGTGGTGTTGGGGGATATGGTGTAGGGGAGAACTTTTTAGAGTGGGGTTGATGGTTGGACTCGATGATCCCAAGGGTCTTTTCCAACCTGAACGATTCTATGATTCTATTCTATTCTATGACAGCATCCCTGAGCATCAGGAGAGGAGATGGGAGGTGTTGGTGACATGAGGTCTGCACTAAGCCCCCCCAGAATAGCCTGGTGGGTGGCTCTGGAGAGCAAATGAGCCTGGGGAGCTCTGGGAGATACCTGGAGCAGCATGGGCAGGGGACCAGAGAAGCATGGTCCCATGCTGCTCTGGTCCCTTGCCCATGGTGCTCCAGGTATCTCCCAGAGCTCCCCAAGCTGCACACCCCTCCAGTGAGTACACCTGCCAGCTCTGGTGGCCTGGGCTGGGGGGTGCCAGAGAGGCTTTGAACTTCGAGATGAATCTGAGCCTGGGGCAAGCACTTGAAGGATTTCTTTTGAAGAGCCATGTCCCCTGGCCAAGCTACCCCTGGCTCCCCCAGGTTGCTCCTGGCCGGGTGGTTGTAGGCCAGATCCTGGGCACAGTGGGGACAGTGGGTGGCCCGTGGCCAGCTCTCATGGCACAGTGAGGACACAGGGTGGCCCGTGGCCAGCTCTCACGGCACAGCAGGGGCAGCAGCCTGTGCAGTTAGGAGAAGGACAAAAGCCAGGGGAGGATTTTGAGGAATAAACCCTGTTTAACACAATGGAGGTCTTCAAACTGGATTTTGCTGTTGTTTTGAAGTTAACTCGTCCAATAAGTTAGATGCCACCCGCCTTCGTGGCTGGTTCCTCGCTCTCCCATGTGCTTCAGCATCGATCCCATGTCCCAGCATCGTGTTCCTGCACGAATTCCAGCGGGTGCTTCCCCAGCCCCTTTCCCTCCACTCCTGTGCTTTAAAAGAGGTGCAAACTGACGGGGGGGTTAAAAGCTGCAAAGAGCAGAGAGCCCAGCGAGGCCGGGCCGTGACCCGCTCCGCAGGGCAGCGCCCGCTCTTTTCCCGTGGGAGCCATCATGGAGATGAAAGCCCCTGGCTGTGCCTGCACCGGGCCAGGCGCTCTGAAACCCAATCTGCTCGTTAGCTGCCCTGACAAAGAGGTTTCCTCACGCTGGCTGGGTGTGAGGCGGCCGCCTGCTGAGAGAAGGGCTGGAGCATCCCAGTATCAATGGCAGCTCCAGCTGGCGGCTCCTCAGGGAGCGGGGTCTGGGCTCCCCTGGAGCAGCCTTTTCACCTCCTCCTCCCCTGCCACTGCCGATCCCGGCTTGTCAGGTCAGAGGATGGCGTGTTTCAGGATGCTGAGCTGGAGCTGAGCCTTTTACAGCGGTGCTGGGGAGCTGCACGCTCCAGGGAGAGTTTCCTGCGTGGTCCATGGCTGCTGTGGCAATGCAAAGACAGCCCTCCAGCCTTGTGCTAAAGAGCTTCTCCTATAAAACCCAGTGATGTGTAGTCCATCACCATGCAAGCACTGCGCTGCTGTCACAGGAGCCCTCCTCCCTGTCCTTCAGCTGGGACCCCTGAAAGCTGCTGGTCTTGCTCAGGTGAACACTGTCGCTGTTAAGGGGATGTTACAGCGAGTGGCACAAGGAAGTTCCTAAAATGTGGTGTGTGTGCTACATTTGCGGAGTGGGGAATGCCGGGGTCACTTGGTGGGCGCTGTCGCGGGAGTCAGCTTCTAAATCATCCTGTCTCTTTTTGCCTGCAGTTCTGGGGGCTTTGTTACGTACCAGGGAAGCAGCAGGGAAGTGGGAGCACCGTTCCATGTACAGCGGGGTGCTAGCTGCTGCTGGGGCTGCGAGAGAGCGGGGGGTACCCGCACCTCAGAGGGGCAGAGGGCACAGCCACTCTCGGGGTGCGGGCACTGGGCAGCAAACCCGAGCAGCCTGGTGGGGCTTGAAAACAAACTTGTATATTCTGGCCATTTCAGTGAGAAGTGCAAGAGCACCCGGGAGTAGCTGCTTGCAGACAGGCTTGCAGTGAAACCTTGAAAGCGGAGGTTTAAGCTGGTCCCCCCACCAGATTCGTGATGTGGTGGCCACTGGTGGAGTACAGCTTGGCTCCCCAAAAGTGGTCTCAGGTGGCAGCAGCGTGGCTGAGGGGCATTGCAGCTTCATGGAGAAATTAGGGAGATGCTCACATCTCTGCTGGGCTTTCTGCATACAAGCTGTCTCATGAGCTAAGCAGCATCTTGTGTCTTCTGGGGCATCTTGCAAGGGGCATTTGTGCCCCATCCACCTTCACCCATGAGAGAGCAGCTCTGGGTGCCCATCCTGGCTGCCAGAATTGCTTGTCCACCCTCTCCTCGGAGGTGGTGCAGAGGTGCCTCTCGCAGCTTCCTTCCAGGTGAAGTTTCCAGGAAAGAAGTTTCTCTTGCTGGACTAATGGGGACCAAAACAGGAGAAACTGGGTGACATGAGGTTCCCTGGCCTGGACACGGGGACTATCGGGCTGGGGAATAGAAATATTCCTGCCAACCTTCATGCAGCTGATCTCCAGTGTTTTAATGCCTTGTTATTTTTGAGATGGCTTTTCCATGTGTCATCAGACTGCTTTTTCTTCCTGAGTGATTGGGGCAGCCAGGTGTATAACAATCACAGCTTGACTGCATGGCTTGTGCTTGAGAAGCCCTTCAGATGAAGCCCCTTGCAGGTGTGTCAGGTGCCTGCCTGCACCTAAACCCACCCCCACGTGTGCGGGAGAGGGGAGCGCGGGGGGAAGGAGGGCAGGAACAGCAGTGATATTCACCCTTCACGGGGCAGTGCCTTTGAAATGCCAGTCTGGCATTTAGTAGCTCCGGGCTCATTTCAGGCACTCAGTGTCCATACTCCATCTCTCCTTAATATCGCTCTGAAACAGTCCAGAGGCAGGAAATACATTGATTTCATTGGAGAGGCCCCCAGGTAGGTGTGAGATTTCTCTTCAGATTGTTAGACCATGTTAAAGACCTTTCTGCGTGGTCTTCCACATGGCACTTGCCTCTTTTTTACCCGTCCTTGATAGTAATTTCTGCTCCCTTAATGCACGGTGCGCTATATATATATAATATATATATTATACCTATGTGTGGAAAAACTCGGGCGTGTTCCTAGGGAGGGCCAGAGCAACACAAAGCCCATGATAAAAACACAGCTGAAATCCAGACTTCCATCTCCTGGTAAATGTGGCTCCTCTCAGACCTTCTCCTAAAGACTCTGGACAGCAAGATGCTCGGTTCTCCTAGCTTAGGTAGATGCTAAAACTTCCTTTCTGTGCACAAGTTTCATACACAGCAAAGAAAGGCCCAGAGGGATCACAGGGTGATGTGATGGCAGGGGCTGCCTGCTCAGCTGTGGTAGTAGAAGACAGTATGATATTGCCTGTGAATTGATGATGTCCTTGAGAAAGCACCGTAGCAGTGCAGAGGTCGGTGCCTGATGGTGCTGTGGTCAGACGCTTGGATGCTGCAGGTAATTTTTCACCTCCTTTCCTTAACCCAAAGGCACTGAGGAGCTTGATGGGAAAGTTACTATCTGTCCTGGAGGAGGGAGGACATCGGGCTCATATTAAGGTCTGTCCTTAGTGATCTGTCCCCTTTCTACCTGGGCTTTCATAAAAGCCCTGGTGTGAATGAGCTCAGTGCCAGGTTGCCACCGTCTCCAGCATCCTTTGGGGTGCTGAGGGCAGAGCTGTGGTTCGAGCCAACCCCTTGGGCTGCCCCTGGCAATTCGGTGCCGAGGGCTCCTGCCTGACCCGTCCCGAGCACCTCCCCAGCAGGGCACAGGGTGGTCCCCCCAGTCTCCGGATGCACAGGGGGAAGGGACCCGCTGGCGAGGTGCTGCCCTGGGTGCCAGGGCTGGGAGCAGGTCCCCCAGCCGTGCTCTTGCCTGATGCATGTACGCACTCCCCAGTGAGCTCATTAGCTGAGCTGGCTGGGCCGGAGGCACCGCTAATTGCAGCTGGAGGTCCCAGACGTCTCCCCAGATGGTGCTTCTCCCCTCCTTGAGCTGTGTGGGAGGGGGCTCAAGGCTGGGGGGGGCCGGGTCCTGCACCCATCCCCACCCTACCCTCTGCTCCTCCGGTGGCTGCAGGGCTGGTCAGTGTCTGGAGGTAATGGGGAGACTCGGGGGAAAGCCAGAGAGAGCCCTTTCCTGCAAGTGCTCGTGCTCCCACCGCCCAGCCCGGCCAGCTGGCTGTGGGGCTGGGGGGAGTTCACCCCACTGCTGCACCGGCCCTTCTGCACGCCCAGCACCGAGTCCCCGCAGCCAGCCCCGCTGCCGGGGGTAGGACCACGGCTGCCGTTCCCCCCAGCGGGGACCCTCAGCTCTGGGGTCAGTGTTGGGGAGGGGGCGGCTGGGCTGGGTGGCAGCGTGGGCACAGTCCCACGCCTGGAGGGGTGGCGTGTCCAATGGAGCTTGCACACACGTGGAGACTGTTCCTGACAACCATAAATACGCCACACGGGGTGCCTGGCACCCCCATCTGCCCCACAGCCAGAGTGCTGGCTCTGCTGGGAGCAATGGTCCTCAGGAATATGGTTTAGTGCTGTGTTTTTTGGTTTTGTGGTGTGTGAGGTTTTTTTTGGTTGTTTTTTTTTTTTTTTTTTTGTCAGGTTGATGGTTGGACTAGATGATCTTTAAGGTCCCTTCCAACCTAGATGATTCTATCTGTGATGCCTGCAAACGGGGCAGGGGTGGGAGAGGCGAGGATGGGCAGGATGGGTCTGTACAGGAGTTTTGCTCTGGCTGCAGGAAGGGAAGATGAAATCCCGGGCTGTTGAGGTGTGCGTGGGGGAAAGGCTCTCCCAGGAGACATCAAGCCTGGAGGACAGCCAGCTGAAGGTCAGAGTGGACATGGTGCCCTGCAGAAATCTCCTGGCCAGCCTCGGCGCTAGCGCCTGGAGCGGGTCTGAGCAGGGCATTCCCTCCCCCGCCTGGTCCTCTCAACCATGATCATACCACATCTCGAGGACTGTGGCATCCTCTGCTCTCTGCACCCTCCCTGCAGTCAGCCTTCCAGGAGCTCCACGTCTGCTCTGAGGCTCGTTTTATCTGACAACGAGGAGGCAGATTTAAAGCCCCTGAACTCTGCTTGCTGACACGATGGGTTAAGAGGTCTTTCGCTCTTAGTGCACCATAAAAAACCATCTCTGACGTGCGTATGCTTGGAGTCTCAAACGCACCACAGCCATGCTGCGGCTAGCAGCTCTGGCACTCACCCATGGGAGCTGCAGGACACGCACAGACCTGGAGCCGGGCTGCTCCTCCGACACCAGAGACTGGGGCAGAGACACGCTCTGGCTGGGCCCAGCAGCAGCAGTTGGTACCTGGGAGGATGGACACGGCCACTGCCCATGTGTCCTGGAGGCACCCTGCTAGTGACAGACCTGCCCACCTCAGTGACAGAGCCATCCTGTGGCTGTGGAGAAGGTGGGACAGCAATACCCTTCCCAGGGTGGGTCTGGGTGCTGGGTGCTCGCTGGGGGAGAAGAGGAAAGTAGCATTATGGTGAAAAGCAGCAGAAGAACAGAAAACAGCAAAGAAGTCACATTTGGTTTCCAAGCCCCTCTGATCCGGCGGCTCTGCTCCCTTCCTGCAGCCTCCATGGCCTGGACCCTGTTAGGGAGAGGTGATGACAAAGGAGAGGTCTGGCCGTTCCTCCATCTGCTCGGCTCCCTGGGAAGGTGGAGGCCACTGGCCAGGGGCCAGCTCGTGAAGGGCAGTGGCAGGCAGGGGACACTGCCCACAAGCCACTTGCCTAGTGCCCGGGCAGGCTGTCCCCTCAGTGCCACCGGTGCCTGGCAGCGATTGCTGTGGCTGCCACTCCCACAGCAGGAATTTTTTGCCTTAATATCAGCATTTGGACTTTCTCCAGGACAGAGAAAAAGGGCAGAAGTGACAGAGACAAGGGAGAGGGGCTGAGCAAAGGGTGCAATGGATTGAAGGCTGGGGAGACATGGTGCTCGTCAGAGGCTTGATGGGTTGTGCTGCTGGCACGGCTGGGGAGAGCCCAGGCTGTGGGGCAAACGGCTGATGCTCAGCCCAAACACCGAGCTCATGGTGCTGCTGGCACTGGTGAATGAGAATGCTGCTCTCCGAACCCATGGTGCACATGTGTTACCAGATTATTTGGGAGTGGGACTGACTCTCCTGGCTGTCCCCATGTGCTGCACTTCAGGACTCATTGCAGAGCCGTTGCAAAACAGCTTGGTTTCCTTTCCCTACCCAAGATCCAGCCTGGCCTAAGCCCTGTGAGCACACAGGGCGCCCAACACAGCCACAGCAGCAACTGCTCTGCTCTGCAGAGCTGCTTCTGCACCGGCTGTTGTCCCTCCCTCACGCTGCCTCCTCTCCTCTCCTCTCCTCTCCTCTCCTCTCCTCTCCTCTC